ACTGTGTATGTACTACATTCACTAGATATGATACAAACACATTTCTGCTGAACAGAAACTGTGTATATCATGTTGTTGTTGCTGATGCTGCTGGATGTATCAGTTCACCTGATCAGAACTTCTAGTGAATCAGAAGTTACTCAACTCCCAGCAGACGGATACACTCAGCAGTGGCAGGACAAGGTCTATCAATCGTAATTATTACATTTGTGTAATAACATGGATGCTGTTCGGTTGAGAGAACAGCATAAAACTAAACAAACAGTGTCATGTACAAGTGTAGAGGGTTAATGTTAGCTAATGGAGCATAATTTCACATGACATTTTTGAGAAACGTCTGTCCTAAAAGCCTGAAAAATAGACAAAAGCTCTTTTTTGACGTGCCAAACTCGACAAAGACCTACACCTTTTTCTCCATAACATTATGACCTATGATAGAACATGACGTCAAAAATGAGCAAACTATTCCTTTTAGTAGGAAAGGTTTTCTACATTTTGAGCTACACCTGGGGGGAAAGAGGCTGAGTAAACATTTACTTTCAGACCACTTCATCACGACAAGCCATCATTTATCATCCAGCTATTCATTCTCAACCGTTTTGTGCACTCACACGTGATTAATTGTGATTTTCACGGTTTGATCTGCAAATTTCTGTCCTCCTGGACGTTGACGTAAAGTGATATGCCCAGAGAGGAAACTGACCCCAGACGGAGTGAATGAATTAAGCAACAAACTGGGCCTTAAGTACAATGCATCAAAGGGCATCATGTGATTGGTCTAAGAGACTTCTCATAGTTACATTTCATCAGTAATACATATAGACAAACGACTGATAATATATTTATTTATTTATTTAAACCGATTACAACTAGACAGATAAAGTATGGCAACAAAGTTGCTGAGGAAAAGCTTCTACCCTGAAGCTTTTAGACTCATAAATTCCTAACCAGGAAAATCAATGCTGCTGATTCTTACCCATCTGCTCACAACAGACTCATGTTCAGGCTGCTGTTTAATGCACCGTATTATATTATATATCCTCGTATACAGTTTCTTTTTATAGTTTATAGTGCTATTTTGGGGTGCAACTTGAGTACACAGTTTCGTTCCACCTCATCCACATGTGATGCGAATGACAATAAAGTCACCTTCAACCTTGAAAGTAATGTAATGCACTAAACAACTTTTTTAAAGGAACCTCGTCAACCCAATGAGTGGATAAAAATCATAATATATGTTTAATACTGACGAATTTTTGACATTTTTGAAACCAAACAGAAAAATGTATCAATATAGGATAACATCATTGTTGTCCACGTGTGCATTTTAGAGTTTTGTGCTGTTTGGGGAGTAACTTGCATCCTTTTTATGAATGCAAAACACTGGACGCACTAACATTTCAAGCAGTTGTGGAGCTGGTTTTTTGGGTAAATGACTTTTTTATTGTTTTGGATTGATTTTTTTTTTTTAAGTTATTTCTCTGTTATGCATTTGCACAAAAATCAAAGTGGACTTTGCATCGTGTGTCTTTAACATCATCAGATGCAGTGCACAGAACTGTGGGGGGGTGCCAAGCACATGTAGGCTCCATCACCCACACAAGAGCTGCACAACTACTAGCATCATCGAACATCGAAACACGTTTTGGTATGGTAGTTTTTGACCCAAGCACAAATAAAAGGCGTGACTATTAACGGTTTCATGAATCTGGTGACGTCTCAGCGTCCAAAAGAAGGATTAAAGTCGACTTTCTTTGGCTGCCATTGCAACAAGAGCCCGTAAACTTTTAAAAGCAACTCACCATTTCGGTCGGCGGAAAAAAAAAAAGCTTTAAAAAACGTGCTGGCGAAACTCAGTTTGTCTTTTGTTGGATTTTGCGTTCAGGCGACTTCTCAGTTTGCATCAGCCAAAGTAAAAAAAAAAAAAAAAGAGCTCAAACGTTGTTGATTTCTTTTATCTTCTTTCGGGAATTTAAGGAAAAGGATTTCGCTGCTGTGCCGATAAAGTCGGACAGCGCATGCGCAGACTGCAACCATGCTCTCAGCGCGTCAAAATGAGAAAGAAGAAACATTTTGATCACTTTAGGTGAATAAACCAAGATAAGAGCTCTGTTTTATATTATCTCTGCTGTTGTGACGAAGGGTCAAGATAATATTTTTACTGACCTTATCTCGTTTTATGCTGGACGACTCTTAACTTTTATATATATATATATTTATTTAAAAGAAAAACTTAATTTATTGCCCATATTTGCTACTTCCGGTCCACTTATATTCATTCATGCAACCTTTTATTTATAAAGATAATTCTCCTTGAGTCACGAAGACTCATTTTCAATAGAGACCTGGTTTAGATGGACATTTAAAACACAGACAACGATAACAATGCAATTAAAATAAAAAGTAGTGTTGTATACAATAAAATCAAGGTGCCTTATAAAGCAAGGTAAAATACTAAAAACAATAACACATTTGCTTTAGATTCTACCCTTAACAAAAAGTAGTACATTTGAAGTTTATTTTTTGCAAGTATACTTTATTAAGTATAAGTATGTCAAGTACACACCATAGTGTACTAGAAGTATGATTTAATATTTGTTTGAACTAAATTGGGACATTTTTATACTATTTTTAAGTATATCAAATAAAGTTTATAAAAAGTAAACTTCAAGTACACTTCCTCATTTTTAGTGTAAAATAAATATACTTGTATACTTGAATAAACTACTTTTGGTAAGGGTAAAGTTTAGAAGATATGGTTGGAATAAATTAACATAACCAAAAGCGATTAGCACTGTGCCCAACAAAGTTAAGTCAGGTCATCTGGACGGTTTCTTTCAGAAATGTTTCATTTTTCATCCAAAAGACTTCTTCAGTCCGAGGAGCCACAGCAAACTCAGTCTTAGAAATAGCACCTTCACATAGTGGATCAACCAGTTTGATGGTACTCAGATGGTTTTGGAGTCCGCCCTCTCCCCCGCCGACTCATTTGAGGCAGTCGTGACCACAGTGGTTCAAAACATCCTAATACATGCTCAGTAATCCAGGTAGAAAAATTCAACAAAGTTAAATCGGATCAAAGTTAAATCAGGTCCTCTGGACGTTTCTTTTATGTTGAACCGTTTCGTCTTTCCAACCATCTCACCATCAAACTGGTTGACCCACTATGTGAAGGTAATTATAAAACTGAGTTTGTTGTGGCTCCTCGGACTGATGAAGTCTTTTGGATGGAAGACGAAACGTTTCAACAAAAAGAAACCGTCCAGAGGACCTGATTTAACTTTGTTGGATTTTTCTACCTGGATTATTAGCATGAATTAGGAGATTAGCACTGTGCTTCATCCTGTTTTAATGTTTAATTTCATGCACTTTCTTTGATTTCACACTTTTCTGGGGGAAATTTTGTACATTTTATCTTGTTTTTCTATAACTGCAACAGAGTCAGAACACTTAAATAATACGTGCATGATTAATATTAAATAGGCACGGAAAAGTAGGTCATTGGACGTATAACAGTCAGCTCAGCGAAAGAAAAGTGTCGACAGAAAACGAATGCGGGTGAGAATGTTTTTGCTCTTGTTTTCCTGTGTTTGTCTTTTAGCTAAACCTCTCATGAACCAATGGACAGATTTTAATTGAACTTAAAGGAACTATCTTTACAACTGATTAACATTTGGGCTTAGCCGCCACAGCTGAATGATACCACTGTCAATTTTACAAATATCGATATACAATTTGACCACTCACGCTCAACAAATATTCTTAGCACTAAAGGATTTCACTAAAGCTTTGTTTAAAAATTTGCCCATAACTATTTGGAGTCAACTTTTTGTCTCTGTTAACAAAATATCTTGTTACCTACTGAAAGGATCTAAATGAAACTTTCAGGACCCAATTGTTTTGTATACTGATACAACTGATTAGCTTTCAGAGACAACAGCAATCCTTAGGAAGCATAAAAATGGCTTTAATTAAAATAATTGTACAGATGCTGTGGTAAAATTTAATGTGGTAGTAGCTGAGAGTCATTCACAACTCATTTTCTACAAGTATGCGTGAGCTCTTTGCTTAAAACTTTAGCTTTATTGTGGAAACAGCGCTGCTTGTCTGCAAAAAAATAAAAATAAATCTCATGAAACTTGCAGGCAATGGCTGCTGCTTACATGTACAACTGATTCAACTTTGGAGTCAATTCATTTCAAGATGGCCACCACACCTAATTGAACTTGGAGAACACAAACATGGCTCAAACTCAGTCACTGAGCTAAAATGTGATAACTTCTGCTTTGGTCACATTACATCTGTATTATAATTGAATACTCCATCTGTACTGTTCTCTAAGCTTTTTTATTGTTTTCTATTGTATGGGTGTACATATGGTTATATTATGTTTTAAATTTTACTTTATTTGTGGGTGTACACAGGTCTTATGTCTTATGTAATGTTCTCATTTTTACTTAATTTTTACTTAATTTTTACTTTATTTTACTTTATTACTATTCGCACCTTATGTCGAAGCAAATTCCTAGTTTGTGAACCTCGTTCATTGACATGGCAATAATAAACTGATTCTGATTCTGATATGGTAATAGTATCCGCAACAAAGGAGGCGGGGGATACGCATTCCTTTAAGGAAAATTAGGACTTCATGTGCAACAAATCTTGCACTTATTCAGACTACAGAGTAAAGTCTTCCCATTATTTTTGTCTGACATTTAATTACCGTAAAGTATAAAACAAAGAGCAGATTGTTTAAATTCATCCGGGGATGTGGAATCAGTTTATGGAGCAGGACGCGACGCAAACCAGCCGCTCATTAGCAACTGAATGGATGAGGAGTTGCCAGGTAAGGCGCCAGCAGGACGCACGTCAGTCTCCTGTAATGTTCCCAGCAAGGTGTTAAATATGAAAGCGGGTGGGTGGGGGTATATATATGAATGTATATACAGAGAAGGGTCAGCCCATAATCTCCCCTGGCAGAGGGATGTGGTGGTGACAGCATGACGCGCTCACTCGGAGCTCCTTTGGGAGCCGCGCTGCACGCGTCGCTGCTGCTGGTGCTGCTGGCTCACGGCGTCCAGAGACCCAGAGACGGCTTGGCCGCCCCGGAGCGCGCGGGCGGGCACCGCCTGCCGCTCTACATGATGCACCTTTACAGGAACTTCAGGTCGAACTTCTCCAAGCCTTTGGATAATCTGGAGCGAGACGCGTCAAAGCGCGCGGATACGGTGAAGAGTTTAATGGCGAAAAGTAAGATCTGGTTTATTTCTTTGCAAAACTGTTAATTAGTGTTAAACAAGAAGGGGCAACATGTTCAATTTATTTATTTATATATATTTTTTTGGCCCTGTCATTGTTTGCCAGACAGCCTGCAGAGGCTTCAATCCACATCCTTTCAGGGCGTGAATGCAAACCTTTTCTTCTTCTCCTTCCAAAATAGGTGATGTTTATTGTTGGGCACCTCGCCAGACGTTCACCCTCCCCGTACAAATCTCTTGTTGGGTCAAATCAACAACTTGCCTTTAGTTCTTCTTCACACATTGGTCTGATTAGATTAGAGCTCAGGATTTAATGGTGGCACAAGTAGCCGACAAGCATCCCTGCAGCTGTGGAATCCAATTTCACATCCCTGCCCCATCTACAGGATGGCAAGGAAGGAGTAAAATGATTGATTTTAGTTTGATTTGAGATGAATTGGACTTTTACTCAAGACTAGCCATTTCCAAAGACGGTACACAGATTAAACCAAATGTCTCGAAATAACACCAGATTATTGAATTACAGCCTCTGCAGGGATGGAGAACAGGCCACACCATGATCAGATTACATCAGCTTTGTTTTGTGCAATTAATATGCAGTTAGCTGCAAGGATCAATACCAAAAGAAAATTAATGGTCTAGTTTATATTGCCCGCCTCCTTTCATCACAGTTTTAGATTAAGATCATCTTATGTGGAGAAAAAACAAAGTTGTACTCGTTTTGGTCAAAATCTGCACAGTGGTACATGAGATATTTTGCTTACAGGCATACAAAGTTGATTCAAAACATTCAAAAGTCCAAACTTTAGGTTAATATCTGTTAAATTGACACAGCTTTTTTGTCAGCTGGCTGTGGCGGCCATCTTCATTCATGCTTCAAATTCGTCCATTAGGTCATAAAATAATTTAGTAAACGACAGACACTACAAAATATTATCTCCTGCTTTCACCTTTTAAATATACATGTTTTTTTTATTTAACCTTTATTCATATAGGAAGTCTCACTGAGTCATGAGCACTCATTTTCAAGAGAGGCCTGTTTGGGAGCAAGGGGGTTAAGGGCTCAGAGTGGGGCAAATAAGAGTGGATAGATAATATCATGTAAAGAGTTGTGCCTTCTATAATCAATCTTTCATATTATTGATAAAGCAGTTTTAGTGGCAGCTGATTGGCTCTTGATTGAAACAGCCAGAATAGTTTCTGCTCATGGCTTATTTAGGCACATTTTAGTTTTTTAGGCCACTTTTTGTTTGCATTTCTTTTCAAAATTCAATTGAAAAAGTGGATTTTTATTAACATTTTTCAAGTTGATCTGCTTTTATTTAAAGATGGCAAAGACCAAATAGAGATATGATTGTTACTTCTATGAAATGGGCCTTAATTGGATGTGATTGGCACAGTCGTAATGTATTTTTTTATTCCGTGTGAAGTTATTATGCAACGTGTACTTTAATTAAGATTGCGGTGACACTTGTGCCATTTACCACAGGTTTGACGTACAAACACGAGCGCTGGGTGGTGACGTTTGACCTCAATGTCCTGCTGGCTGACAAACACATCCAAGCAGCAGAGCTGAGAATCAAGCTTCCTCGCTCACAAAATGCTTGGAACATCACCGTGGAGGTGAGCAACCTGGACCACAATCCAGTGGGGCTGCTCAATGAGTCGTCTTTGGTCACTTCTTCAAACAGCTGGAAGGTGTTCAACATGACCAGCCCTCTCTTGGGCTGGCTTCGGCAAAACTCGGCAACAAGAATCCAAATCCAAAGAATACCGAGACAAAGGGAAGTGCAGAAAATGACAGACCTGCCTGTTGCAAGTCTGCCTGCTTTTGTGGCGCAGAACGTGAGTGACCGGGCCTTGCTGGTTGTCTTTTCCCACACGGGATCGGATAAAAACTCCAGGGCCAAAGCAAGCTTGCTCCGCACAGCTGAACAATCCAAGTTCTTGTCCTCCGCTGAAATCGAAAGGGTCCACTGGCCAAAGAGGCGTAGGAGCAAACGAGGCCACAGAGAACAACAAGAAGTGAGAAGCCCGCAGGCGTTCACGAGAGGGGGTGAAAAGTCCGTCTGTCGCAAAGTGGACCTGGAAGTGGATTTTAATCAAATCGGCTGGGCGTCCTGGATCGTCTTCCCAAAAAAATACAACGCCTACCGCTGTGAAGGTTCCTGCACTGGTCCTCTGGGAGAAGACCTAAATCCAACCAATCATGCCTTCATGCAGGTGATCAATGCATCTTTGTATTTAAAGCAGGGCTACTCAACTGGTGGACCGGGGGCTACATTAGGCCCACGGGTGAACACAGTTCAACCCATCATTTTAAAATAGAACTAGATTTTAAACCATAAAACAAACAGACTTAATGAGAATAACTGCTGGATATACGGCCCCTGAGCTCTTAGCTTTCAGTATCTGCGGCCCCCTGAGTAATTTAGTTGAATAGCCCTTTTTTACAGGACCTTGACATTTTCACACCCCTTGAACTTTTTCAGATTTTGTCACGTTGCAAACACAAACTCCAGAATAATTGACTGTGCTGGACGAGCACAAAATAACACGATTGTGAAGTGGAAGGAAAAGGATATATATTGAAACATTTAAAAATAAAAATCTGAAACGTATAGCCTGCATTTGTGTTCAGCTCCTTTACTCTTTACCATAGATACAATTTGACAAAACATGGAAAAGGTCCTGTTTGTTAAAAACTCATATAAAATAAGTCCCTGTTTAACAAACGCCGTCATTTCACTGTAACATGTTCTTGTGTTGACACAGTTTCACCCCCAGGAAACTATGACACAAAACAGGAGATGCTGATCTTCACTGATGGTTGAGTAATTTCCTAGGTTTACATTTGCCTTAAATTAGAAAACATCTGAATGCAGCAAAATGCTTGATCATATAAAATGAAACCACAAAACTAATGAACTGTTACACCTAAAACAACATAATTGTAATAAACAGTGCAAGGATTTCTGTAATTACCACTAAAATACAAGACCAGTTTGAATTTGCCGAGGAAAATATTTACTTACCGTATTTTCTGCCGTACATGTCGCATCGCTCTATAAGTCTCATCAGTCCAAATATGTCTAATAAAGTATAAAAATCCATAAATACGTCGCTTCTCCATATACGTCGCATCTATTATGCATCACCGCTGACAACCCGGAAATGTGGGCCGGCGTTGAGCTAAAAATCAATTGGCTGCTAAATGGCGGCCGCTGGTGTGTGCACGGGAGAACTTTAACAAGGATTTAACAAGATCAACACTTAAAAACAATTATTTGTTTACTTGAAATATAGTAAAGGTGTGTCTTAGTCTGACGTTTGCTTAATAAATGCACTTTGACGGTCAGATCAGCTGCATTTCAAAAGCTGATTCGCAGACGAAGGCACGCGCCGAGGGACGAGTCGTTGCGTATTTCTTCAAATTTAACAAGATAAACACCTAAAAAGAATTATTTGTTTGCTTGACATTATAGTAAAGGTGTGTCTCAGCTGAACTTTTACTTAATAAATGCACTTTAATGGTCCAATTAGCTGCATTTTGCCGGGGCGGCGCAGCGAAATGAAGCTGATTTGGTGGTTGCTCCAAGCGAGCAGAATGAAGGTGTCAAGACTAAGGCAAGCTGATTGTGTCATTAATAGCCACTTTTACCTATTACATAAATATTTTCAGTCAGAATGAATGAAAATGGTCATATCTCAGCCAAAAATTGGTTTATAAATATGGTGAAAAAAAATCCATAAATTCGTTGCTTCAGTGTAGGGCATGCAAATTATGCAAAAATCTGCGACTTATAGGGCAAAAAATACAGTATATACTAAACATATATTTTTTGACACTTTTAAGACAAAATTATTCATATAAATTCCACTAATTTGTATAAAACAGCCTCCACTAGAATAAATATTATTACTGGTGCTTCACTTTTTCTCTACAGAAATGATCCAACATTGCAATGCACCTAAATCTCATTTTTCTTTCTCTGTTTTCAAGAGTCTGCTGAAACATTACTGTCCGGAGCGAGTGGTGACACCGTGCTGTGCTGCAACCAAAATGAGCCCGCTGAGCATGCTGTACTACGAGAACGGAGAAATGCTCCTTCGGCACCACGAAAACATGGTCGTGGATGAGTGTGGCTGCCAGTGATAATACATCCACCTCAGAGCATGGACCTTTGTGAAAGAAAGAAGTTAAAACACTGAGATGCTGTGAAGACGCAAAATAAATTTATGAATCACAGAATGCAAACACCTAATATTAAGAGAAAAATACTCTTTGGTATTTATCATCCTGCAATGTAAGATTGCATCTGATCCATGTGCCAAAACACAACTTTAAAGGTATAGTTCATAACTTTTGAAATGGAGCTGTGTTATGAGGTTATGAACAATAAGTATCTTACCTGTTGTAGATAGCTGTTGTAACAACCTCAGTTTGGAGAAATAGGGTTTATTCTTGACTTGATTGATGATCAAACATGCAATAAATAAATACATTATTACAAAAGAATCACTATGACATTTCTGAGTTAGAGTTATTTTAAGTTAAGACCATAGCAATCCATTGTGGTCCGGCTCAGACTAACCAATCAGTTTATCAATCTGGGCAGAATAAGACCCTTTCTCTAATCTGAGCTCATTCAAAGAGTTTCCTACAACAGGGAAGATATTAATACCGGTAGTTATTAACTTTCCCGCAGAACCCTAGTTGAAAAGATTTGAACTAATGCTTTATTAATGGTGCAGGCTTTGTTTATAATGAGGACAATACTTATTTGTTGAGATGGGCTGAAATACAAACTCAGTAAAAGCCTTCAGATATTATCACAGTCCAACATGGATGCTTATTCTTCATAAATAGTCAATTTAATTGGAGTAAACAAAAATTGTCAATGTTTAATATTTCAGCACTGGTGTTTGTTTTGTACAATACTGTGGTACTGTAAACTAACTAATGTGTATTTAATGTGAATAATGTAATTTATGCTAACCTTGTACATTGCATAGTTTATAATGGTTATGCTTTGGCATGTAAATATAGGAAAATAGCTATGGTGCGTTTGCAAATGTGTGCTGAAAGGGTTTGTCACTGTGGGCAAACACGCTGTTTTGTTTGTTTGTGTTTTTATTCTGAATAAAAGTGGGTTGGTAATAACGCTTAACGTTCTTGATATTCTACAGCTCGTTGATTTAACTGGAACTATTTTGTCCCACAAAAGAGTTGACTTACTAAAAGTGGTGGACTTGTCAAGTTTTGCAGTATTTCAGTCACCCACATGACTTGAAGCCACATTCCAACATGCATAATAATCAGTCTTTTAAAACCAGAGGGTTCATTGTGTTCAAACCCTTTGTAAAAATAGAAACACTGAGTGAACAGGAATTTGCCAGAACAGTTTTTTTTTTAAACAAAAGGTCAAACAGCACCAGACCCAGAGACTCAGCAGATGATCTGACCTGGAATCAGAGGTAAGTCATCAACTTCAGATTGACCAGATTCAACTTTAGAGACTTTGAGATCTATTGATTCTCAAAAACTGCATTTAATAAAAAAATTTACAGTTCGCTAACGAATAAATCTGGAAAAATGCTATTTTTCTGTAATGTGTCGTCACACTGCGCTATCGAGACGCAGCAGTGACGCTCCTGAGCACTTCCTGTTAGCTTTAGCTAACACCGGCTTTTTTAAAAAGCCGCGTGTTTTTTTATTTTATTTTTATTTGTGCACCTTTATTGCCCTTATTAGCTGTTGTTTATTGAATAAGCCTTGCTGGTTAATAATACATAACCTCGCACTCGTGTGCACCAACTTCTACTCAGCTAAAAATACACACACAGCTGCTTGTGTTGCTAAAGCTAATGATAGCGAACACTGACAGCTGCCGGTTCTGTAGCAGTCTGGGTGCTCAGAGTAAGTAAAGAGTTCAGTTCTTTTCATTAGACACATAGGAAATTATGCTTTTATACAGAAAACGGAGTAAATGGGGATCTGTTTCGTAATGTGGTTCTCTGTAGTTTGCTTTTTACTGTTGTAAATCAATAAAAATAGAAAGTGCTTTTTATTAGCTACCAGGTTCAGTGTACAGTACTGTAGCACGAAAGCTGAAATTGATTAAAAATAAGCTAATATCAACTGCACTGACAAACTTATTCAGGTGTTTGTTTTTTAGTGTTGTGGTTTATTGTGTTATAGGGAACAGGTGTGTTTCTACACCTTTATAATACACATTTCTTTGAAGTACAGTTTAAAGTTTATTCTGGAAAAAAATAAATTAACAGCACAATCAAAGTCCTAAATCGAGCAATTTCAGTGTCAGTACATATTCATTCAACCTTTATTTATACAGGTTAGTCATATACAAATAATTGGTTGTTATAACCAGATTTGTCTAATGTAATTACTAAATGTGTATTTGTTTAATCTAGCTTTATGTAGGTAACAAAACTAAAGTGATCCCTGATACGATGTGAGACCAAAGTGACTTGACTGAAGTACATTAAACTATTCCATCCATCCATCCATCCATCCATCCATCCATCCATCCATCCATCCATCCATCCATCCATCCATCTTTACCCATCCATCCATCCATCATCTTTACCCATCCATCCATCATCTTTACCC